CTTACAGTGACATTTCAGTGCCAGCCTCATAACTTCACCCGTGGTTGTTGCACCTACTGGACTGGGAATTAAATCAGGGCAGGGTCTTTGGTGGGAGCTGCTCTGGGTCAAGGGAGACACTGAGAGAGAAACAGAGCAGGCAGAGAAAGGCAGGAGAGAAAGGAGGACACAAATCCAAACAGCTGAGAAGGTGGCACTTTGAAAAACAAACCAGGACTGATGGAAAATGAATGGGGCAGAAATCAATAATTCTGAAAGTTTTATTTCTTGTCAAAATACATCCCACACACCCAGCCCCACACAATCCTGATTCCACACCCTCAAATTTGGATCCCACTTCTCCCAATCTCCTTCCAATCCCATCTCACCCTGGAGGCTGTGGAATTGAGTAATTTTTGCACAAGACTGAGATTTTTTGAGGTGAAAACAAGCCAATTTAAGGTGGGATTGAGCATTTTGGGATAAGATTGAGTTGTTTTCAGTGCAATTGAGACATTCTGAGGTGACAGCCCAATCCATCTTGACTTTTGGAGTGCAAAGATATGGAGAACACTTCCTGAAATCATCCAAGAACCCACAAATCCTCCAGAATATGTCTTTAAACCATAAATTCCATCTGAAATACCTGTTAAATGGTGAGATTTTAGACATCTTTGATCAATTGCTTTCTTTTTAGTCCAATTTCAGGTGTTTTTAAGTGATAAATCAGAAGAAAAATTAGGGCTAAACCAAAAGGATAACCAGCCCACTCTCTTCCCAACATGGATCACAGGGAATGTGGGTTACCAGGCCTCTGCACAACGTGAGTCCTCCCATGGGGCATGGATTTGAAGCAGTGCAGGAAGCTTTTCCTGTAGTCAGAGCACTTGCAGGGCTTCCCTTACCAGTGGCTCAGTTGGAGTTTGGTCAAGTGAGAGCTCTGGGTGAAGCTCTTCCCACACTGGGGACACTCATAGGGCCTCTCCCCATTGTGGATGCGCCGGTGCCTCACAAGATGTGAGTTCTGCTCGAAGCCCTTCCCACAGTCGGGGCAGCAGAAGGGTGTTTCCTCGGTGTGGATCCGCTCATGCAGGAGGAGATGGGACCTGCTCTGAAACCTCTTACCACACATGGGGCACTTGTAGGGCCTCTCCCCAGTGTGGATGCACTGGTGGATGATGAGGTCTGAGCTGTACCTGAAGCTCTTCCCACACTCCAAGCACCTGTAGGGCTTCTCCCCATCATGAAGCTGCTCATTGACCACTAGATCTGATCCCTGGCTGAAGCTCTGTCCACCTTCCTGGCACAGGGTGGGTCTTTCCTCCTCAGAGCACCCTGGGCTGGGTTTGTAGCCCCTTCTCCTGTGGGATCTCTGGGGCTTTTCCTCCCCATTGCATTCCTCTGCCGTGGAACCACTCAAACCGGCCTCTTCCACAAGATTCTGCTGGGGAGATTTGTGTTCTCTGGTCTCTGTCCTCAGCTCCTTGTCTTGGGGAGGAAGGACAAGGAGAAAATGGGATTTGCCTCCATGCCAGAAGGAATGGGAAGGAGATCCTTCCAGGGCTTCCCCAGTAGGACAGTGACGGCTGCAGGGTTGTACTGCAGCCGGGGGCCATACTGGGCTGGGAGATGGAGCAGGAGAGAAGGGGAAAGGGGCACTGACTTCCTCCTCACATGACTGGGCAACCCGGGACATCTTCCTCTTCCGCTCAGCCTTCTCCTCCATCTGGCGGTGGCTTAGGGATGGGAAATTCTGGTTTGGGAGGAAAACAAGAGATGAGTGCATTGAGTTTTTTACTGGTTTGAGGGCAAACCAGGTAGAGAGTCTAAGACAGAATTACAATTTAACAAGAAAATTAAGATCAAGGCAATGATACAGAAACACTGCCTTAAACTGACAGAGTCAGGATATAACCTGGCACCCTGTTGCTCAGGGTGCTGGTAGCAGTCCAATTAAATGGTGGCTGCAGTCCTGTTGCAGTGATGAACGTGATTCTGTCAAAGCAGTGATCCTGTAGAAGGGTCTGGTCTTCCTCTGAAGGTCCAGTGGTGCTTATGGAGCTCTTGTCCTCTGAGAATCCAGTAGGCAAGGTGCTCCTGGTGCTGCAAGCCTCAGCTTATATCCAGGTAGGAATGCTTGGCTCCTCCCCCTGGGCGGAGCATCCCACAATGGGATGATGTAATTTTATCAGTCCTGCAGGGACACTCAATGGCCCATGAACAGAAGAGAGCCCCTGCAGGGCGTTATCAGGGATGAGTCATGGAAGAGATAAAGAACACTGCCCCGCCTGTTTATAAGAGTTCATGGAGATGGGGATGGAAAACATGCTTTTGGTTACATCTTACACTGTAACCTGAAACAGTGGGGTAATCCCTGCTGGGGGGGGGTGAACACCACCCCCCTTACCCAAACTGGCTCAGGTGTAAAACCCCCACCCCGGGAAGGCCACGCTTACAGGGGACAATGTCACACTGTCCCTGCCACAGGGGAGGTCTCTGTCCCTGTCACTCCCTTGTTCTCCCCCCTTTTCTCTTTCTTTCCATCTCTCTCTCTACCTCACATTTACTGTTCAATAAAATCCACTTTGGATTTGGTCTCGCTAGTACCTTAAATGGGTGCAGAGGCATCTCTCTAACAATTTTCTTAACCAGACTGTGACATTATTTTGGCACAGTGAGTTCAGGGCACTGTTTTTTCACCCCAAGTGGCTTTGACAACAGCATGACTCCCTCCTCTGAGGAGGTTTTGGCTCTTTCTTTCTGGAGGAACTCTTGGAAACTTGGATGCAGCTTCCTCTGAAGGACTTATGGGAGAACTGATGAGGAAAATGGCTGTTGTGGGTGGTGAGTGTAAAGAAAATATTTTGTTGTCCTTCCTTGAAAAATTTGTTCAAATCACTGGAGGAAAGGGAGTGAATGATACCAGAGAGGCTGACAAGGTTCATTCACCCCATGATGAGGAACACAAGGCTGCTAAAAGTCTTGCAAGAAGCCCAGCTCAAGGAGCTAAATTCTCAAATAACTCCTGAATTCACAGTCTTGGGGGCTTGCCAAATGTGAGAATCATTATTCTCTCTATCCCTGTCACCTTTCTGACAGCTACACAGAGCTTCTCCTTCCTTTTAATAATCTGTGTTCTGACTCTGTCAGTGCTGTGTTGCTTTAATGCATTGTTTATTTTATCTTTTTATTTGTTTCCCTAATAAAGAACTGTTATTCCTGCTCCCATATTTTTGCCGGAGAGCCTTTGAATTTCAAATTTGTACAAATTCAGAGGGAGGGGGTTTAGAATTTACACTTCAGGAGAGGCTGCTGCCTTCCTTAGCAAACACCTGTCTTTTCAAACCGACACAGGGAGTGACACCAATCTCTGCTTAATCCTGGTTTTGCTTTAATACAGTTACTTTGAAATCACTTCCTAGTATATAATATTATATAACATAATATAATATTATATAACAATATATAAAGTAACATAATATAATACAAAATAATATAATAATATGTCACAGCTCTTAGGAGTTAATATTTCTGATTAAGATAATATTGTCTAATCATTACAATAATAGTTAATATATATTTATATAAATATATATGGTTTGCCATCATTAAACCTGTGAGAAAAATTCTATAAAGGTTTCATTCCACCTTTATAATTCCTTCCATACAAAATCTTGAAAAGTATGGGAGTGGGATTGGAACAAGCTCCTCCAAGACTCCTCCCACAGAAGGAGTTTACGAAGCCTGGAGGTCCTGGGGGGTGTTTGGGAATCTGTGGGGGCTGCTGAGGCTCCTTTCTGTACTTCGTAACCCAAGAGAAACTTGTCTAATAAGCTTTGCCTGAAGCTTCCACTGTGCCCATGACAGGAACCCCTGTGAGTGTCTGGGACATCCCGGCTCTTTGGCAGCCTGGGGACTCCTGGGATGTCACCATGGAGCCCCCGTCAGTGCTTGTGACAGATCGGTGCCTTTGCAGCCCAAGGTGCCCTGGGATGTCACTATGGAATGGCTGTGACCGCCTCTGAGCACAGGGCACACTCTTTACCATCCCCAGAAACCCCTGGGAAGTGTCCATGGAGCCCCTGTCTCTGCCTGTGACATTCCAGCTCTTGAACAGCCTGGAGACTCTTGGAAAGTCCCCATGGAACCCCTCTGAGGGTCTGTGACAAATCTGATCCTTAGCAGGCATCCATCTGCAGCTCCCTGTTGCTGTGGTCAGTTTC